TTGCCCTAAATTATGGTGTGCTATATTCATAGGCCAAATAGGGCAGAGAAGCATCATATGCCAAAATTTTGATACTTTATGAATGTTATTTAAATTACAGTAAAATGTTAAATAATGTACATTTGAATTATAAATTTTTTAGATAATATAATACTTATTTTTAATATGATTAATTCGAAAAAAAAATTTAATATTACATTAATTAATAGTTTCATGTCTCAATATTAATTTTTAAAAGTCATGTACTATATAAAATATTTTATTATAATTTAAAAATAATTCATAATATTATTTCATTTTAATAATATTATAATAAAAATATCGACCTCCTTTTATCAATCCGAAATTTACTGAAATTTTATACATAAATTATTTTATCTTTATCATCTCATTAATTATTGTTCATTTATTTGGTCCAATTTAAAAAGTCTCAATTAGTAGAAGTCCAATTTAAATATCTAATTTAGAAATTTAATTCAATTTATTTTATTTTAATGTTACCATAGTCAGCCCTCACCAACATGCCCCATCTTGTTGAACATTGGGACAACATCAGACATGGTGCGTCTATCATCCGCTGCCCTTTCTTGACCACAAAGAAACCTATGTTTTGCCAAATGCATCGATGCTTCCTCTAGCACTGGATCAATCGAGTCCGGTCCCCCGTTGCTCATCCACAAATCCCATGGCTTCAACCACAGGAAAAATAGGCTGTAAGTACAATACTTGATGATTTTATGGTAAAAAATACGTCAGTGATAGAAAATTAATTTTTTTATTTTTATATTTTTAATAGTTTATTATTTTAAACATATAAAAAAGATATTTCAATTACTCGAAATATTATTTTTTCTAATAATACTAAATAATTAAAAATTTTAACAATATTTTTTTTATAAATGTACTTTTTTTCAATTGTAACAACAATACTAAATTAACCCTAAGGCTCCCTAGCTAAAGACATCAGATTTATAGGAAAAAAAAAAAGGGCAGCTTGGCCTCTCCCAAAATTTTTAAATTCTTTCTAATAATTATGTTATGATAAAATTAAATGCCCCCTCAAACTAAAATCATTAATTTTATTTATTTTTATGTGATTTCATAATTTAATTTTATTTATTGAAATTAAGATGTATTAAAATTATATTATTTATTATTTATCAACAAATCATTATCTATAAATTTTTAAAATTAAGAAATTTGTCATAAGGGTTAAATTATAGTAAAATAAATTTAATAAAAGTTAAATTAACTTTCTAGTTTCTCAAATAAAATTAAAGGTTTCCAATCAAGCATTAAACAAATTATCTATTAAGATATGCAAGACCTTGCTTTACTTTTTTGTGTTGAATATGGGAAAACTACTAGGAGAAGATATGAATCATTGTCAAGATCTAAATGAATGTGCCCAAAAGAAATCGAAGTAATGAAAATTTGTTAGTATTATGGTTTTGACTTTTGATGAAAGCATTGGCTACCAAAGACAAAAAAAGTATAATAACACCTGATTGTTGGGCCCTTTTAGATCCAAAGCAACAAACCAAACTAGGCCCAACATTGACAATACTTTGTTTACCAGGTCTACTTAAACGAGCAACGAGGAAAATGCCAAAATAGGGTGATTTTAAATATAATTATCTAATGAAATTAATTAATATTGCCCATATTTTCTAGGACCGAAAATATAAAAATTTTACTCTTAAAAGGGAATTATTAAGAAAATAAAATTAAAAAAAAAAACAAAGAACCATGGTCTATACATGAATAGCACATAAAACTCAACTTTATCAGGTTGATATTTAAATTTTAATTATTAAAATTAAAATTTTAGTAATTTACCAATTACCACACAACTTTCAGCTAATAAACCAAAATTTGAAGTACAACAACGTTATCAGGTTGGGTACCTCTCTTGAAAGCAACAACTTTGGCACTTCCTTCATCAAATAGGTCCAGGAAGCAGATGGCTGGTACCAAAAAATTATGTCCGTACATCAGATTACCTTACTTCGTTAGGCTTGAACCTTGAACCATAAAATTCTTTAATTTTCAAATTAAAAACATTGATATGTTTCATAATATGATGTGGTGATATGATGAACAAGATTCGTATGCTTCAACATTCCATTTTCTGTAATTTACCCCCAAATCTTTGTCCTTCCATTTTTCTTTTTCCCACAAAATATGAAAATCTGGTTTTCAACAGATTCTCTTGCTTCTACTCTATAATACTTGCTACTTATCACTGACATCAAGGCTAGTTTGTACTCTTTTCAATCAAGAAGGAAGCTCCAACTTTAATTATGTTTGTGAATCAGTGATGGAAAGATCCATGAAGCAGGGCTTACATCAAACAAAATTTTCACTAATAAAATTGTGACCACAGTCTCTTATAAGCCATTCGAAAAATTTGAATTTAAAAATATATATATAATTTTTTAAAAAATATGATATTCAAAAATTTTTTTATTTTTAGAATAATTTTTCATTAATTTTTATTAATAATTAATATTCAAAAGACAAAAAATATTTTTAATAATAAAAAAATAAATATTTTATTTGATTATTGTTTTTATTTTTATTAATAAATTTGATTTTTGGTGGTCCTTGGACTAAAATCATTTTAAAAAAAAAAAGGGCTATGGATAGATTTTTGTGAATTATTTGAAGGAAATTGTCAAAGGAAGCTGCAATGAAACTTCCATTTTTGTTTGAAAGATGCAACAAAAAGAAAATATCCAATGAAAAGTTAATCCATTGGTTTAGATTTTTTTTTTTTTTTTTTGCAATCACATGACAACAATACATCATTTCTTATCTTTTAATTTGTTTTCAAATTTCAAATTTTCAAAGTTTTGTTTTTTTTTCCTAAAAAGTGAAAATCCAAATTACGATATATCATATGGGCTATCTCTATCATAATTTTTTCTATCATCAATTTATTTTAAATAAAATTTTAACGCTTATTATACCAAATTTAATAACATTTTAATTTATACTCACATCTAATAAATATTTAATTTTTTATAATTTATTAGATATAAAAAAATAAAATTAATTTCTTTTATTATTTTAATTATTTAAATGAAATAATACTTTTGAAAAATTCTACTTGAACTAGGGTCGAAACAAAAAACGTCTAACCAAACCAAGTCCTTGTCGTCATATAGCAGATGATTAGCAAGCCGTCCTTGTCGTCATATAGCAGATGATTAGCAAGCCATCCAGCACATGCAAAAGGACATCAAAGCGTACGAAAATGGCCTCAGTTTCAATACACAACTGCTTTTCCCCTAATTTTCCCTTTGACACTTAAAAAAAAAACAAAGAATTGCTTTAGTTTCCACTATATTTTGTCTGTGAAATTCGTTGATACATTATCAATAGTATTTATTTTATCAGTAAGAGTAATATAATAATACATATTTTATCTTTTAAAATTAATTTTTTAATATATACTAAAAATTATGTCACCCTATTAATTTCATTCGTAAAATTAAAAAAATTTATTATCAATATATTTGATAATTTTTCATCTTATTTTGGGTGTCACATTTTGAAATGAACAACTAAATGAGGATATTATATATAGTTTTAGACTTAAGCATTATATTCACAAAGTATATATCTATATAAAGAGAGGTGTACCATAATTTATATATATCTATATAAAGAGAGGTGCACCATAATTTATAAGGCTAAATTTAATAAGATTAGACAATTTTACATGATATATATATATATATATATTTTAGTAACACCGAAGCTAATATTTGTACAAATTTTCTTGCTAGTATGTTACATAGTGATAGTTTTGAATTGACAAATTTGTTTTTTTTTTAATTATTTGTTTGGATTTATATAAGAAGATTTAAAAAAAAACATTTTTTAAAAAATAAGAAATGGTACATATCTATGTTATTTGGATGGTTAAAATTAATAAAGGAAATCAAAGGAAGGAAATTTTAATAATTATTATTTAAATAAATAGATAAAAAAAATAAAATAATTTATTATAATATTTTTTAATTATAACAATTTTTTTTATAAAGTAACATATAATATATAAATATATCTTTACACTACTTAGCTTGCACAAATAAATCTTTTTGAATAAAATTGAGCATGTTTAATATGATAAGATACATTAATTAGTTATCGATTTATTTTTAATTTTGTGTTTAATTCAATTTTTAATTTATTTTAACGATAATTTAGGTTTTATTGTTGTTAAGGCTTGAAAAATTATAAAATATTTATAAACTGTGATGTTATATAAAATACTTATAAAAAAAATTATCTTTATAGAAGAGGTCAGTTATATAATCAAATCTAATGTCATAATAAAAATATAGATATAATAATCTTTTCATAAAAATAAATCTTTTTCAACTTTTTTTTCATTAGCTTTTTTTTTCAAATTGAGGTATTAAAAAATAAATATTACAAGAAAAACCGAAAGTTAACGAGTTTCTACCTCTTTTTTTCTTTGAAATTAAAAGTTTATCCAAACAAATGAATTATTTTTTTGTTTCTATTATTTTTCTTTATTTTCATCTCATTTCTTTTCCTCTCTCTTAATCCAAACATAATGTTAGTGTGTATTTTCAAACCGAAATCTTATATTATTTAAACGATTTTAACTGTTTTTATGTATAAAAAATAATAACGTAAAGAATTTTTTTTTAAAAAAGGCAATTAGAATTGAAGTTAAAGAACCAATTATAATTATTAATCTACCCAAAAACTCACATAAAACGATGGTTAAAACAATAGTTTGAATGAGCGGATTAATAATTTAAGCCTTTAACAACCAAATTTGACACTGGAAAATGGTATGGTACAAGTGTAATTATGTAGTAAACTTTGTTTATTTTCGGAAACCCACCAAAACACAAAGAGAAAAGATAGATCTATATAAATAAATAAAACCCCCATGCAACTTCCAGGAAGTAGGGTCTTCACAGGAAACCTAAAGAAAAAGATGGTAGCCAATGAGAGGCGCATGAAGCTCACCATTTCCACCATAAATATTTATGTTATTATCTGTATACTAAAATGTCGTCAATGCCCACTAACACTTTCCTGGAAATACCTGATTTCCTCCCCTTGAATGAAATCCCCATTATATAATCCCCTCCCTGCTCCTTCCTCCTCCACCTCTCCTATTCACTTGTAAAGCTAAAAAACCCCGTAGATGGAGCTTGACATTGCAGTTGATTTTGATGATTACTTTCCATCAATGGTGGAGAGATTGGGAGCTGAAGGGTTTATAGGGGAGCTGTGTAATGGGTTCCGGCTGCTGATGGATGGCGAAAGAGGGCTGATCACGTTCGACAGCTTGAAGAGGAACAGCATCTTGTTGGGGTTGAATGACATGAGGGATGATGAGATTGTTTGCATGTTGAGTGAAGGTGATTTGGATGGAGATGGTGCTTTGAACCAGGTTGAGTTTTGTATTCTCATGTTCAGGTTGAGTCCTGGGATAATGGATAATGGATCAAAACAATGGTCGGAAGAATATGATGTTATTTGAAAATTAATTTTTAAAATTAAGTTTCTCAAGTAATTTGGATGGAGATGATGCTTTCTAGTTATGATTGGATTCAAACTCGATATTCTCTATATTAAAATCGATTTCAGTATCATTAAACTAAAAATCGCTAGTATCATCTTTGTTGTTTTAATTAATTGTTTGGTAAGCTTGAATAATTGCAATTGATCAATGGAATTAAAGCATGTCTTGGAAAAGAAAGATGTGAGAAATAAATTAAGATATTTTATTCCACTCAATTTTTATTCCAAAATTCCACCTTTATATTACTTCTCAAAATCAGCTTTATGATGTCCTTACTCTCTGTCTTTTTTCTTTTTTAATTTTCATTGTTATTTGGTTTTTTTTTTTTTATTTCTTACTGGAAATTTGAAATTGAAAACTTTATATCTGCCATTATTGTAATTATGTTAATGGAATTGAAATTGCAGATTTAATTAAAAAGGCTAGCTTTATTATTACCACCATTCTTCAAATATATAAATATATATATATATATATATTACCACCATTTTTAATTTTTTAAGAGAACTAACTAAATAATTAAAACCCCATGTGGTGGTTTTGAATTGGAGGATCATGATCCAAGACAAACTTCTTTAATTCAAAATATTTTTATTTTTAAATCAGTCATTTTTAAAATCAGATTAATCAAATTGTGTTGATTTCACAACATTAAGTAAAAACAGCTCAATTAAAGATATTATTCGAAAGCTGCTTAAAGTAGGTAGTGAATTTAAATATTTTTAATTTATAATAATTTTTTTCACTTTTAAATAATTATAGGTATATTATTCTTTTTTATTTTTAAACAATTTTAACTTTTTAAAAATATGTTTTAACTTTTTATTATAAAAATATTTTATTATTTCACCCACATAGTGGATATGCATAAATACAGTTAATCATACATTTATATAATTTCACTTTTTTAAATGAATTTTTATATTTTTATTATATTTAAATATTTTATATTTTAATTTATATCTAAATAAACTCTTATTTCAAATGAAAAAATAATTTATGTTATCTTTGATAAAAAGTAGTAATTTCCTTTGATAGGTACAAACACACAGGGCAAAGGGAATAGTACACTACGTATAATTTATTTTCTTTTTAAAAATATTTAAAAACTTGATCAGATTTAAGGGGAAGCTGATGGATATTATTTTCATAATTCAGCCCCGAAATATGGCATCAAAGAAACAGAACAACTCGTAAAACCTAATCTTATAGTATATCACAGTGTAGTAAAACATAATGCCATGAAATGAAATGAAATCAAGAAACTCATTAACCGTACAACAACATCATAGACGGGGTTATGCAAAGATGGGATGACCGTGGAAAGAAATAATCGTATGATCCAATTTAACCGAGTGCCACTAACTGCCAAACATTTTGATGACTTATTGTCGTGCCGGCTAATCCCTAGCAACTCATAGCCTTCCATGCTATCTACAACACGACAAGCGAGATGGAAAAAAAAACGTCAGACTATGAACAGTTTTGCACGAAAGAATGACAAATATAAATTACTAATTAAGATATTTCCAACACCAAGATTCAAACCTGCCTACGGATAGGATCGACCTGCAATTACCAGGGACTTGCTAAGCATCTGCCATGAAAGAAGCATCAAGCACTATTGTCATTTTACAAGAATTGGTAGCAAGTTCAAAAGGAAGCAACTCACACAATTTTCATACATTAACCAAAGTCCATGAAAGAAACCCAGGAAGCTTTGCGATTACAACATGCTATGGATTTCATAACACGCAATTCATGTTTATTAATTCAAGATGTTTCCACAGGAAAACCATACAGACAGACCTTTTTCTTCGCATGTCTTCTTATTCCATAGGTTGTTCTGCTGTGTTTCACAAGCAATAGCCTAAATAAACAAATAAAGGCAGAGGGAGGGAACGTGTGTGATCAATTGATATTTAAGCAACTTTGTCCAAAATGCGAGAACATTCTCCTAATCTGGGCATGTCTTTTAGCATCTAATAATTATCTTTTCAGTGGCAATTAACTTTCCAAATCAGATTAATCTGAATATTTCCACAACTTACCAACTCTTGCAGTTCATACATCCTAATAGGTATGTTGCGAAGTAACATATACGAAAACAGAAGCATGTTCTAATAAACACTTGATTCATTCTTTTTAAGAACATTTCCCAGGCTATGGGAAAAAGTATGCTTTAACAAAGAAGTCCAGAGAGAAAAGCACACTGAAGCTATTTATCTCCCCATATTCTTCTGGCTAAAGTAAATATGATTTATGAAACTATTTGCATTCCCACACAAACCACGTTTGATAGCCCTTTTAAGCTCCAATCGATCATCACAATTCCCAACCACTAGAAATATGGCAACCCCTTCAAGCATCAACTTGCTTTTTTCTTAAGGGTTACTGTCATGTATAACCCCTAAATGATAGTAAAATATTCAATGTGATACCTGACCTTAAAAAATTTCTACTATGGTATTTGAACTATGAATTTGTTAACTAATGTAGACTTACCTCTAATGTAGCTAGCTTCAAATGATGACACATGGTGAACAAACAAACCTCCAAATACCACATTAGTTACGAATTTATAGTTCAAGCACCACATCAAAGATTTTCAAAGTTTAAGTACTATATTGAACATTTCACTATAGTTTATGGGTCATTCATGACATTAATCATTTTCTTAAGTGGACAAATAACTGCTCAAAACATCTTTCTATACAATTTGACCATTTCCTATGATCGAAACATCATGTACTGAAGCCTCCATGAGCAGGCCAAACTTGCCAGTTTATGCTGTAACTAGTAACAGTACATATATTCATACTAGCATTTGCACAGATTTAACAGGTTAATAAACAGTAGCAATTGCCATCCACACGTATTTATCACATTCATACAATACTCTCCAGTCGTACTACCAATCTAGCAGTGACCTCTATTATAAGTTCCAACATCAAGCACACCACACTACCATATGTCATCCTCTGTATTAAATCATCATTTGCCACCAAGCTCCCAAAATTTAACAACATAACATCCATAAGAATGATCAAGGCAAGGAAAACTATTCCTATCAAGCATTTATGCGTATTTAGTTACTTAATAAACACTGTAACAATTGATATCACATATCTTTCTTATATTTATGCACTGTTCACTCTTTATTATACCAAGTTAGCACTGACATGTATGACCAGTTTATACACTAAGCACATCACAGTCCACATGCTGTCCTTATTAACTCATTAGTTCTACCGTCCATCACCCATCTCCTTTTCAATTTAACTTGCAATCTGCAATAAAATTCAAGAGGACAAAACTAATCCTATCCACTCCACAAATCCCCCATTAGTAAAAATCTAATACTATGAAGTAGACTAAACAATTTATAAGCAACAAGAACGACACAAAACTAAACCTTTTCCCACTACGTGGGATGAGCTATATAGATCATAGTATACTACCATGACCTATTTATCAGCTAATGTAACAAAAACTGCAGATCCAAATTAAACAACAAAAATGCGAAGAAACCAAACTTTGAATCCCTAAAACCAAAACAAACTAAACCCTTTTCCCAATATGTGATCATCTATATAAATATATATATATACATATATATATATATATAGAGAGAGAGAGAGAGATCATATTATGTCAAAATTGATACCAAGAAAAGACCAACCTTTGCCAACCTAAAACAAAGCCCTTTCCCCCTACATTTGGGCAGCCTTGTAGGTCACACTACATTGCTGTGCCCTAATCATCATCTAACAAAATAACAACATATTAACCAAGAAAAACACTAAGATCACCTGAATTGAACATCTAGAACTGCCAAAAAGCCAAAATTTCAGTCATTCAAAACCAAAACAAACTAAGTTGCTATGTGAGGTTAGCTATATGGATCATATGATGTGACTTTGCCACTACGTCCAATTTATCAGTTCATACTATAAAAACACATAAGCAATAAGAAAACTGCTCAACCCATCCAAATTAAGCATTGAAACAAGATCAGAAATTTTTAATCAAAATAAAACAACCAAAAATAAAACCCCAAAAAGGATTAACCTTTGCCACCTTCTTCCTCCACCTCAGCCTCCTTAACCGTTACCACCGGCTCGCCATTCCCGCCATCTTTATCTTCAGGATACCTAACAACAACAACAGGACAAACACAGTGTTGCACACAATAATCACTAACACTTCCCAACTTCCCATCACTCCCTCTTTTCTCAGCTCCAAACCCTCTACTCCCCATTACAACAGCACTCAACCCTAACCTCTCCACCTCAAGACACAATCTTTCCCTCATATCATGATCTTTCACTATATGAATCTTATAGGGAATCCCAGATTCCTTCAAGGTTTTGGCCAAATCCGCCACCTTCGAAGCCGTAAAGGCATCGAAATCGTCTTCCAGTTGCTTTTGGGACTGCGGGGTTTCTGGGATTTGCGGGGTGTGGGGGAGTGGGCCCCAGTCGGCTCCAAAGAGTACGGAGGTGGGCGAAACGTGGAGGAGGATGACAGCGTCGCCGGGTCGGAGGTAGTTTTGGACGGCCCAGCGAACGGCGAAGGCGGATTCATCAGAAAGGTCAACGGCTACGCCAATCTTGCGATGGGCACCGGCGGTGGGGGTGGAGGTTGCGGCGGAGGTTGGGTGGTTAGGGGAGGCTGGGTGGTGGATCTTGATCGTTGGAAGTTGAGGGTCATCACTGTTATCTGAAGGATTCATTTTCTTTTCCCTTTAGTTTGATCTTTCCTTTTCTTTGGTCTGCTTCTTTATATATAAGAAAATGAGATAGCTTTCAGTTTAAGAGGGTTCCAAGGTTGTTTAAGTTCTCTAACACTAAGAATAAATTACTAAAAAAATAAAACACTCCAGAAAAAATTATAAATGTTGGGATGGGAAGAAATGGGCATAAAGGGGAGAAGTTAAAATGGAGGAAGGAGCCAAGGGGAAAAGAATTTCAAGGGAATTTGGAATTCCCGTTGGAAGTTTAGGTTTGGACTTTGGGTTAAAGATTTTCTAATGGAATTTGGGTTTGGAATTGGGTTTGGGTTTAGGTTTAGTGGACTTAATTTAGAGTAACTCAAGAGCTCTTAAGTAATTCGATTGCTCTAATTTTTTTGGAATTTATTTTCTTCATTGTGCCAGTTTGCTTGCCTGTATGTTCCTTGCCAATTTCCCTTTTTGGTTTTTGTTCCGAACCCTTTAAATTTCTAGCATTTTCTTGTTACTCCCTGATATTAGAAATCTTGTACGATTATCCATTTGCTTGGTTGTATGATCCAACAAAAATAATATATATTCACAGGGAGAAACAAAAGTAAAAAACATGGAAGAAAAAGAAAGAGGAGGAGAAAAGGAAAAGTTGGGGGATGAATAAGACAGGATGATTAATGAGCATCCAATCAAAAGTAAGTTTGCCAAAGGAAAACAGAAGCTTTCACAATCAGGCTTATATACGTGCTGATTGACGATCAGACTAACCTCAGACTATCACTCTCCCACCTCCATCCATATTTAATTTTTTACACCTTTAACTTTGTTCACAGATTTGCACTTTGAGTTTTTTTGGTGCTTCAGGCCTTTGGGTTTTTCCTTTTTTTTTTTTTTTTTTGTTTGCACTGATCATCAGTCATCAGTTTTCAGCAGCCATTTTCTGATCTCCAATGTCGTTAGGAAGAAAATATGCCTTGCTTTACACGCTTATATAATTCTTACCGTTGTTGTTATTTCCTGAAAACAGTGATAATTTTTTTTTTTATTGTTTATCCCTTTTACAAGTTTTTCAAAGCAATCCCCAAAAAGGTTTTCTTGACTCCCATAAACAGAAAGCTAGAGACACCCCTCCTTGTGTTTCAGCACATTAAAGGTGTAATTTCAGCTAAAATAAAATAAATGAAAAAGAGTGAGACAGTTGTATAAGGTTTTGAACCATTTCTGGCCAGCTTGTATGCAGGTTAACTTAACATCTAAAGGCAAACAAGGGGGGAACTAATTTTTTATCTAAGTTAAATAGAATCGGAGAGGGATATCAGATGCAAAGAATTAAGCTTGAAAATGGAGCAATTAGAACATATATACAGACCTTTCATGCCTGCAGGTCTTGCCAAATGAATACTGATTTGCAGTTAATTTCAAACACAAAGAAAGGTTCATAACTGATCAAATTTGAACAGTTTTTGGTGTTTATTCCATGCAAAACTCTCAGTCTACAATCTACATTCTTCTATAGCATTAATGGCAGCCATAAGCAGTTTCATATATATATATATATATAGTCCAGCAAATGTTTAACCCAAACAAAACTTTTATTGTGTGGGTTTAGAGGATCTTTAGAGAAACTTGAATTGCTAATTATAACTTGCTATATAATGACAATATCATTAAAGCTGAGAGAATTCAGCCAATAACTGACAAAATCAGAGTAAGAGTTAGTGGGATTTCCTAGAAAGAATAATATAATTTGCAGTAATTTAGTATGAGATATACGTTTAACAACAAAAGAGAAACTTTTAAAGCTGTATTTGGGATATGGGTTCAAAGTTCAAACACATTGATTACACCCAAATCAATGTAACAGTAAACCAAAAAGCTAAAAACAGACAGTTTCCGTGTGCTCCTAATATGAAAGCTTGAGGGACAAATCAACACAATTAGAAGCATTAGCATAAGAAGCTTCACCACCCACTGCAGCTGAAGCTTCTGCAGGCAATTTCCTTTCCTTGGTAGACGTGTTTCTGTTACTTTTCCCTGGGAAAAATTCGTACTCCATGAGAACACTTCCGGTACCAATTGAGTTTCCCTTCCTGTGAATTGCCACCACATCCACAGTCTGCAAATAAAACCCCACATTTAAAACAATAAAAGATTAAAAATACTTCAAAAGACAAATTTTAAGTACTTTAGCAAACAGAATTGATAGACATTCTCTCTATTCCTTAGAGAAAAGAATGAAAGGTTGGAGACAATAACTGTCACCTCATTGATGTTGTTCATGTGACCTGCATATGCAGAAGCACTCCTTGCAGCTCTAGCACTGAATGCATTCATCTCTTCATTGATGTTTTGATCGTTTTCAAGGTTCCACCCAAGAAAACCAGCTCCTTTTTTAGGCAAAACTTGTCCAAATTGGTTGAACCCTCCATTAAACCTCACATTGTCCCCATTGCAGCGCATCTTCTGCAATATGTAAAAGTCAGTACGATAATAATTAAGTAATATAAAAGACAGAAAACTTAATCAATTGGTGAAACATAAAAGAACAAATAGAATTATTAGACAAATTATACTGACTTGTACTTTTTTAATTTGGCCTTTTTCTAAATAGAATCCCAAGAATCATAAGACTAATTCGTTTCTTTTAAGTGTTGCCACATTTTCTAGAAGAAAAGGAGTACTCAAGAAAACTGTGGCTAAACTAAGATTTAAAGTCTCTTTTTTCCCATGTTTTCTCGGGAATCAAACATGAAAATCAGAATCAACAATACAACCTAGCTCAACATACAAAATTTATTTTTCCTTCACATTTTCTACTTTTTCTTTGAAACAAAAAAGAAAACATCACCAGAAACCAGAAACACAAGACTTTAAACAAAGACAAACCAAAAGCACAAAACTTTACAAATGATCAAAAACGAAAAAAAGATCGAGACCTTAAAGCAAACATCACAACGATCAGGCTTACAATGCTGCAACTTTGGCATTGAAGAGAGCTCTTTAGAATCCTCCACAACACCAGCACCACAAGCAACCTGAACATCACCAGGAACCCCAACCAAAACCTGACTATTCAACCCACCAAACCCGCCATTTCCAACAACCCTTTGCATCACCAGACCAGCTGTGTCGTCCCAACCCCATAACCCCCCACTTCCACCATTGATCATCATAGGAACACCATAGTTTGCTACACCATGAAGCACAGGAACATTACTAGTCCCAATAGGGTCAGTAGGAAACTGGGTTGTTGTTGTTGCTGTTGTTTCAGTCATTTTCTTCCACCTTTCTTGGATCCTTAAACGTTCAAGTTTTTCCACTCCCATACCTCTTTGTGGCTGTTTTTTTTGGTGTGGACCTTTCCCAGTTTGTTTCCTTCCTTTGTTGCTCTTCACAAACTCCATAGCTGGTTTAGCTTCATCTTCCAAGGCTTTTGTTGTTGGGTTATTAGTATCTGGAATCAAGACTGCAAGTGAAGTAGCCATTAAAAATAAGGGATTGATGCTTTTGGCTTGAATCAAAGAAAGTGAGAGAGAAAAAGCGAAAGAGTAGAGTTGGCTTTTGCTTGGTGATAAAAAAGAATGGTGATTTTATAGACAGACGGTTTTGAAAGATTTCGATTTTCTTTTTTTTTTTTAATTTCAAAAGAGAGAAATTTAATTTAATGCTATTTAAAATAAAGTTTTGGGAAAAATTAAGAATTAAAAAAAAAAAAAAAACAAATATGCCTCTGCTGATATACCAAAGCTACAAGGTCTTGTATGGTATTTTTCTTTTCCTTTGTTTATGTGTTTTGGTTTTTTATTTTATTTTTCTTTTCCTTTTTGATTTTTTTTCCTGAAATTATTATATCCACTCTTGTTTTATCCACATCCAAATGTTAGAAATTTAAGAACAAAGAAATTAAAAAAAAAGAAAAAAAATTTTGGTTTTGAAGGTGAATTTTTTTAAGAGCTATTATTCCTATAGGATATATATTTATATATCACAAAACCTCAAAATTTTTTTAAAAAATAGTGAAAATGACTTAACAAAAAATTATATAATTGATGAAAATACATATATTTTCATAAAACAACTCTGATAAATAAATATAATTTATTTCATCACTGATTATTAATTTTTTTTGTGAATGAACACAACAATACTTTTCATAATTTATATTGTAACTTATAAAAGGTAGCTAGAATAACTTGTCACCAATATCAAGCATGATCCAATAAAATTTATTTCAAAGAAATTTCCTTTTCAAAATTAAATAAAAGATTCACCAATATTTTAAACTACTTTTTTTTTATGGAAATTCACCATCTTATCTCAAAAGATGTACCCTAAAAATGCATTTGTTTTTTTTTTTTTTTTGAATCGAATCTAAAATATATAATTTTTTAAACAAAATTTTTACAATTCAATCGAATTCGAACATTATTTTTAACTTGAAATATTATTAATTTTTATGACTTTCGTGAATATATCTATTTTAAATTTTGTAAAAGAAATTATTATCAACATAAAATATGATTTAGAGGTTTTTTTGGTTGCCAAAACTATTTCAAAGGTTTTTTTATAATAAATCAAATCTAAAAGGTTGTGCCATTAACCACATTAGAAATCAAAAAGGAAATTAAAAAAAAAAAATAGAACTCACCTATTTGAATAAATATCTTAAAATTTGATTGAAATGTTAAAAGAGAGGACAAAAAGAATTCTTTCTGGAATCAGTAAAACCAGCATGAGACATAGCAAATTTGCATTTCCATTTATCCAGCCCCACCCTGAACACCAATCCCAATGCAAGAAAATCCAAAAGCAAGTTATCTCAACGCGCGTGTAAATAACCCGCATCATGTCATGAAACAATTGTAACAAACGCGCTAAAGAGAGGGTGAGCTTGTAGTAAGTAGAATAGTACCTTGAGACACGTGTCAGAAGTAAGGGTATACACAGCGATTATACCGGGCATGGTCTGAAACACAAAGGACATTACAACTCCTTTTAAGTAGTTGGCAGTGTCAGTTTAGACAAAAGTAGCAAAGAAACATTAGGGCTTTTTCATTTTCATGCAAAACATATAAAATATAATAAGAGAAATTATTTCATATAAACAGTAAATTTTTTTAATTTTGTGTCCAAATTTTTATTTTAATGATTAAAAATATTTGAGAAAATATTAAAGATCCGATTTCGAATCAGATCTCTTATTTTTTTTTTTACTTATACTAAGATTTTATTTTCTTGATGTAACAAAAAAAATTTTTAACTTTATAAATGAGATTAAAATTATGATACATATTTTATTTTTTAAATTAATAAAATATTTAATTTATAGCCTAAATATGTTTTTACATTTAATTAATTTATGCATTGGAATTTAATGGGCATGATAATGTGATTATAGGGAGAGAGTTGGGCGAAAAATGACAAAAGTTAGTATTTATTTAAATTTCATCACACTAAATACATTCATTGCATCATTAGTTAAATTTAAATATTAATTTCAATGAAATCAATTTAATATAAATTTTTTATTAAATTTTTTCAATTATAATTACAATAATTTTTTTAATTATAACTATGATTATTTTTAATATTATTATTAATCTCATTACAATTATTCTTATCATTTTTCAAGGAAAACCTTAAAAAAGGATTATTGTGAGAAAATGGTGTTGAGGCAACGGGGCAATTATATAGAGTAAGATTTGGTCATGACTATGTGAATCTGCCTATAGCTATGTTGTAGGGTTGCAATGATGACCTAATTCTTTCATATTTTGGAAAAAAAAAAAAAACCCTAAAAAAAGTGACTCCATGTGATTGTTTCTGGTGTGTTGAATAAAATATATTGGACTAGGATGTGTCATTAATGCTTAATTATTTCTCTCCTTCATTTGTGTAGTTAATGAATATGTGATTTTGCTCTACATCATTTTAGTTATTCCATGTCTTGTTTGGTTATAACATATTAAATGGTGTTGTCTACATTTGTTAGATTTGTAGCATGAATGATAATCGAGTACAAAAATCTAGCAAATTTGATAATTTTTTTTGGATAATAAAATATCAATAATTAAGTGATGATAGTCCATATCATTCGTGGGTTCATTTCATATATTATATTAAAGATATATTAATCACTTGTTTTAAATCATCAAAAAAAAAAATTACGTACCAAGTCAATATAATAAAATTTTATTTGAAAACTAGATTAGATGTGAAAAAAATTTTGAATATGTCTAACCATAATAAAAAAAAAGGAAAAGATTAAAATATTAACATATAAAAAGAAGAAAAATGAACCTCAATCAAATAAGGAAATACATTAAAATAGCTCTTCTTCCCAATGCATTTCTTGTTTTTCTATGCAAGAATAACTAATTTTTACTCGAAAATCAAGTATTCTCTTTGCTTTCCCATGGGTTACATTCAACTCTTCAAACCATTCATCCAAAAGTTCTAACATAATCAAAATGATATTATTCCATGTATGTGTTAGGCTTTCGATCTCTTTCACCCCTTGAAATTATGGAAAAAATTGTTGGAGTTGTTACAAGCAATTATAATCAAAACAAAATTTCTTGAAGTTCCAATCACATGCATGAAGCATTTTCCTCTATTAGCTAGGATGTCCCCATCATGGTCAACATTGCAAATTGCCATTTCAACTTAACCATATAAACTGACTCTATCAATCAAACAAATTTCTTTACCATCCCTCAACCCTTTTAACCACAAAATATGGAGATATCAAGCTTTGAAACTATATACCAACTCTTTATTCTCCTCATCCTCTTCACATTATCATACATTTCCATGGAATGAATGTGTTTTTTTTTTTTTTTTTGGTTGTGGCACCAAAATCTTGTGCTAGAGCTAAGGCTTAAAACGAGGGGAGGGGAAAAGCAATCACAACCGCGTGACTAACCAAAGATGTGTTTTCTGATATGATTCTGGTTGAAGATCTCGATAATCCTCCCCTTCCCTCACAATTGCATGCAACGCAAGAAAAAGCTGAAATTGTACGGACCCGCCGTCCTCAAGACAGTGACAATCCTGACCAATAATGACCTGCCACGTAAGTAAATGCCCCCTCCCCCTTTCTTTTGTAAGCCTTGATCTAGTACTCTAGATCTTAGCCATGCATATATAGCGTGATATGAAGATTTATATAAGAAGAATCTTCCAAAAAGAGCATTGGTAGGTGGTCCTCCATCAATGACACGTGGCAAGTGGGGACCCACCTTGGTTGTTGGGATAGGCGGCTGAGGGTCTGGAGATTTGGCACGTGTGAAGGTGGTGGAAACATGTGTGAAAGGTGAAGGGAATGGGGTTTTTTTGTTCGTTTTGTTTTTTGTTTTGAGGTTTAATGAACAGAGAAAAGGGGTTGCTGAGTTTGAGCAGACATGGAAGGATTCTTGGGGTTTGGGAAGCAGATTGTGCCCTGCATGGAATGATTGGGGATTTGGGCTACGACCGCAAAGTGGCCTAAAGGAAGCTTTAGATAGAGATACATAGGGCTATGACCCTTGTTACGGGACTCCTTTTTGCATTAGAACGGGGACCACATAGATATAACTCACATTTAAATATTTATAATACAAGACACGAAATACATGGAAATAATTTAAAATTTAATTTATATAATTTATATAATTATTTTAAAAATAATATTTAATAAATTATAATTTTTTTAATAAAAGAACGTGCCGATGTTTGTTAGTGTCTTGCTAATGGAATGTGAATAAAAGGTTGCCATTGTCACTACTCAATGGTCAAGCCCAAAGATAAGGAGTTGTTCGGATGCCAATATCTTTTCCATTCATATATAATCATGGTGTTTGGTAAAAGGATTCATGTGGTCTCCATTTTTGGGTTCTTTTCTATTTTACTTCTTCTGCTTTCCTTTCTTGATGCCTTCTTATCAACATCAGACTATATGATTCCATTACCAAAAAACTTTGATGAAAGGTAATCTTGCTAAGTAGAGTTAATTAAGAAGGTTTTCATCACAATTTTGATGAATAATGCCAATGTGCCATAATATGAAATCAATCACTTGTATGTAATGCTTTTATGTGTATAAAGAACTATATATAGTATGAATCAAAGATTTAAATAGCAGTTGTAATCACATTTTTTATTGCATTATGTTTATCGTATTTTCGGATATAACGAAAATCATTACGGTCATCGCGATCATCGTGATTGTGAATTTTTTTTTTTAATTTTGTACAATTTGTTACAAAATGTAATAATTACAATTATAATTATAAAAACTCTTATTTAATATTTTTTAAAACAGTTTATGACACTCTATTTTTTTATTTTTTAAAAAAATTATTCACAATTTTATTTATATTATAATAAAACATTTATATTTGGTTTAGCAATCAAATTTTTATTTGAGCCAAGTTCATATTCAAAATTAATTCTAGACAAATCAAAATATTAACTAAACATAATATGTTAAATACCAAACATCTATATTTAATAAAATTATAAACTTAAAATATAATAATTTCAAATTTCATCAACTATAGTTACAAATTAATAA